ACCAAATCAAGAGAAACTCTTTCATGGACAATCATGGGCTGACTGGTTAGCCCACCAAAGTCCACCCTCTCAACATGTCTGGATCAAAATTCATCATTGACTTTGAGAGGAGAGTAGAGACCAGCCTGTTAAAATTTTCTTGTGAGTCCAATATATTTGTAAGATGCTATTGGGCTGGTCTACTGCAATATCCAAAATCTCATATGCATGCATCTCTGGCTTGAGGATGATAATATTAGGATACCTTTTAAAAATCTTTGAGCACCAAGAGTGTGGCTATCGCGGCAAGTTTGGAGCCACATATTTTTGTAATATTTCTTTTTAAAATCTTAATTTTTTTGAATTTAATTGTTAAAAATAATTAGTAATAATAATTATTAATTAATAATTAAAAATAATTAATATTTTATTATTAATATATTAAAATTAGTTATTAAATTAAAATATCTTAATACAATAACTAGCTGTTATATATATATAAAAGAAATAATTCGTGCTTGTGTAGCAATAACTCCACTTGAGCACTAACTCCGAAAAGACTCAAAAGAAACTTCTTCTTTATTTCTTTATTGATTACCGAAAGCCTCTCAAAAGAAACCTACGCCAAAAGCGAAGTCATATGTTTGATGTAAGTGGATGGATCTGCTTTTGGTTGGAACCACAAAAGGGGAATCCAAGGAAAGTTTTTGAGTCCCAAACGCAAGTAAAACTAAAAACTAAAAAGGGAAGAGGATTGTTAAGGAAAAGACAATAATGATGAATAAACCTCTTTCTAAAAGAAATCATTAAAAAAATAACTAATTGAGACAATAGTTGAAGATGGCATTTTCCTCAATTCTTTACCTTTAATGCCTTAAAAAAATTGTATTAAGTGTTGTTAATAGGAAGTGGATGCCTTTTCATTGATATGTTTGATAAATTGGACTCAGTTTTTTTTTAGTAAATAAATTGGATTCCTTTGGACTTTTGATTTTTTTTTTTTATTATTAAACTTTAAAATCAAGTTAAGTTTTAACTAAATTACAATTAAGTTGGGTCAAACTCTATTATAGGGAGTGGACCCCTTTCATTGATATGTTTGATAAATTGGACTCAATTTTTTTTGGTAAATAAATTGGGTTCTTTTAGATTTTAGATTTTGAAGTTTTTTTTTTATCAAACTTTAACGTCTAAAAATTACATTAAATTTTAATCAATTTAAAATTAAATTATATTACTAACGACTTAAATAATTTAATTATCATTTTCTTAAATTAAAAATAAAAAGTTTTGAGTTCAAGTCATATAACATACAAATGTGATAAAATAAAAGATAAGAGAAGTTGTCTTTCATTATACAATCAAAATAAAATAATAATAATAATAAATTATATTAAATTTCATACTAAAAAAATTTTTTAATATTTTTTTTATTTAAAAAATTCAAATCCAAAATTCCATTTGAGGATAACCGAATTTGTTTCACACATCTATATATCAATAGTCGGACTCTGGAGTTTTAGATGGCAAGTGTGAAAGCGAGCTGGAGGCGGGCCCAGTGTGTGGCATATATTGTCGGCCTTCTGTTGAAATTGGATTGCACCTATCAATTTTTTTGGGTGCTTCGAGCCTAAGTTTCTACCAGACATAGATTCGTGTTCACATTCGAGGGGACGTTGATGGGGACAATAAAAACAAGAGGGAAGCCCAAAAATAAAAAACCACTATTGGATATTTTACTTATCATATTTTAACTTTTATGTAAATTTTAATATGATAATTTATATAATAAATATATAATAATTAATCTTTATTTTTGAAAATATAATAATACTTATTAAATATTTTTACTTAGTTCATAAAATATTTTAATTGCCATTTATTAATTGTTATATACTATTAAGTTAATTAATATAAAATTAAGAGATTAAAACAACTAAAACGGATGGAAGGGAGTATTCTTTAATATAGCCTAATTATATTATTTAATATTTGTATAATCTCTGACCTTAAGATTCATTAATTAAAATATCTTTAATTAGTTTTATACAAATTTTATTATCAAGTTTATAATTTTTTAATAATTTTTTAGTGTAAATATCATATTATATTATTTTTTATAAAAAAATTAAAACATCATGATATTAAAAATGTCATGATGTCTAAATTTTTTCTTTTTCCTTATATTTTTACATTTTATATTATATTTTATTTAAATTTTGTATAAAATTTTACGTAAAATTAATTATAGATACTATAATTAATAAGGTTTAACTTGTGCTCTAGAGGCATCGGTTATAAAATTTTTATTATTTAAGATATTTAAAATAAATTACAAAGATATATACAAAAATAAGGGTAAAAAAAAAAAAGGACGTGAGATTGGTAGCATTAAGTGAAATGAGAATATAAATCACTATATTACCTGAGTTAATATCTGTTTATACAAGTCTTACATAACTATAGTTAATCTTGAGATTTCATTTAATATGGATATAGTTTTGAGTTTTTAATTTTATTTTTTAAAATTGAAATAATTAAAAATTAATTAAAAATAGAAATAAAAAATAATTTACTAAATATAAAATTTTAAAACAAATATCTAAAATTTAAATTTAATTAATTTATAAAATTACTTAATTTTATTCTAAAATTAAAAAATTTTTAAAAACAAAATTCAAAAACTCAAAACCATTTTTAAACCAAAAACACAAATAATGTTAAACGCCATAAACACTTTTAATAATCACATCATTCTGATTTATCCTTTTTCCACCATTTTTTTACATTAAATTTTTTTTTCGAACATGGTTTTTCCATTAAATTTACTCCAGATATAACAACAGAAGCAGGCAGGAAGTAATAAGTGTCTAGATATCATTCGTCAGCCAACACAACTCATGTATTTTTCTTTTTAATTGGCTTTTAATATATTGGTTTAATTTAAATTATTATTAGATTAGAATCTCATAATTTTATATTTTGAATTATAATAAATTATAAAACAAAAATTATTAAATTAAAAATGACCTTTTAATATTAAGAATTTAACCCTATCTAATGTTAGTATTATATAATCTTAGACCAACCATACAACATTTTTTTTTATTAGAGTAACACACACACACCACTTCACCATTTTTCATGCTTTCATCTTCATAAAAACAAATCCCACAAGTAGCGATACGGAAACTTCTAAAGAGGGAAGAATTCAAGGTAGGAAAAATATTTGACGGTGGAGAAGCGAAATTATATGATAATGACAAAAAGAAAATTATTTTAATACTTTTATCCTCTTATTTTTAGTTACTTCTAATTTTTTTTCTTTTTTCTCTTCGCAATCAGGCTTGCCTTTGGTTTCCATTTTATTTTTTATTTTCTTTGTGGACAGGAGCTTCAGCCCCAGCTTCGGGTATGTATCTCAAAACAAATACTTCCGCCGTCCTCAATAAACATCTCTTTTTTTACTTATTTTTTAAATTAAAAATTTTTAAAAAGTTGATGTAATTAGTTATATTATCTAAAAAAGATATCTTGGTATTAAAATATTACTAAGACATTTAATAACCCCATTTAAATATGCAAGGTAAAATATGAATTTTTTCTTTATCATTTTTATTATGTTGAGTTGGATTTATTAATAAGAAAATTAGTTCACTTTAATATATTCAATCAATATAGATAATGTGGCTCGAA